GCAGAATGAAGGATTTGATTCTGGTCAAGGGTTGCAAGCTCCAACCCTACCTCTCCCGACCGCGGGGCACGTGCAGGAGGCAACCAATCGATGTATCTCACATCAACGTCTCTCTCCCTCCCTCCCTTCCATTCTCTCTAAAAATCAATGGCGAAAATATCCTTGGGTGAGGATTAACAACAAAATAGACAGCAGAGATTGGAAAATTGGGAAATCCGAGTAGGTCCTGCAAACGGCTCACGGAGCATTCACTAACCAAAGTGGGCCCTCCACCAGCCTGAGTCACACGACCCTAGCATTTCATCTTTGGCTCTTAACTTACAAGTTAAAACAGAGTTTACTTTCTTCTATAAAAACGCTCTTGTAGAAATCCAGACATCAGGCTCTCCGATGTGAGCAGCTGCTTACCGTTTTCGAGCACTTTCGTTCCCCAGCCTGGTTCCCAGAAGCGAGGCCAGGTGTTCACAGGCGTCTGCCATAAAACGGGGTTACGCGGTTTTACGTTGACCTCACATGCCACCTATTGGTAAGTTTGGGCAGCAATACGTGTCTCCCTCCTCACAGATGCCCTCACCAGCGCACCACACGCACCTGAGAACGGAGAGGCTGGTAAGGAGAGGCTGGTAAGAAGGCGTGCTGCAACCCTCAGGTGTAAATGGCTGAGCAGACTGATCTGGCCTGGAGGTGCCCATGGGAGTCCCGCCTCCCTCGGGCGCCGGGTCCTCCCTGGTGAGTGCAGTTGACACAGCACACGCCCGGGGAGTTTTGGGAAGCCACTGCGAATGTTCTTTTCTTTTTAAAAATCTGAGCCCAAAGTGAGGGAACCACACCCAAGAAACTGACATTCGTAACTGTCAGTAGGAGTGCCGGGCCCACACGGGGCGAACAACCCCGTGTCGCTTTTTTTCTTAAGGGACACCAGTCACAGTGGACTAGGGCCCAGCCGGCAGCCTCACTGAGCCCAGACCCCAGCCAAACCCATGAGAAGGGTGGAGGCAAGAAACATGGCCAGTGGGAAGGTGAAGAAGCTGCTGTTTCTGAGTGCAGCCGCCTCTGCATGGGCCTACTTTTGGGGGGAATGTAGCGGTCAGAGAAGAAGGCAGAGATCTACAAGAGAGTGTCGCTGGATTTATTAAGGTGATTGCCAAATGCCGCACTCCATTCCTGACTTGTAGCCATGCAGCCTGCCTGGGGAGTGTGGCCCAGGTTGGGAGGGAACGCCCGGTCTACAGGCAGGTCTCCGAGGCCTCATGCGCCTCCCCTGGGCACTGGCTGGGATGGAGGGAGCAGGGGCCAGTCAGTGACCAGGGGCTTCGGGCACTGCAGTCCCAGCACCCGTGGCCCTTTGGGCGGACTGAGCCATGAGGGTAGACATTGGCCACTGCCAGCTGCTGAGACATGGCCTCGCTCATCCACCCTGCTCCCTCCAGCTGCCTGGGGCTACCTCCTCCCTTCCAGAATCCCCAGCAAACTTCATGCAGGACTCATGGACTTGACACAGAAATGCCCAACAGAAAAGGCATGTCCGAGGAGTTTCACCAACTCTCAAGTCCTCTGGGGAAATGAAAACATGGATTCCCACTTGTAAAAACACAGGCAAGGCGAGCCGTGTGGAACAGACACACTGAAGATCTCCCAATGCCCAATTTCCAAGGTACTTTATTGTTAAAACGGGTCACAACACTAAGCCTCGGGTTGGTTCTGCCAACACACAAGCTACAAATGCTTGCCTGGCAGCTGAGGGGCGCTCTGCGGTAGCATGTTTGAGAATTGAATAAAAATCCGTACAAAACAAATATTCAAATAGTTTCCAGGCCTAGGCCTTCCACCTTGTTCCATCTGTGCCACCCCCACTTACAAAGACATTCCAAACTAGCAATCATTAAGTTAAGTGGTCCCCCCAAATCCCTTGTCAAGCTACACTCGCGTTAACAGCTACAGGAATGGCGTCTACACGTTCACACGGGCTGACGCGCAGGCTGCTGGGAGGAGCTCCATCCCGCTCTCCCAGGCGCAGGACACAGGCAGGGCGCCGGCGTCCTCCTCCACCTCCGCCTCGGGTGGGAAGTCGCGGTTCTGGATTTGCTGCATCAGTTGCCTGAGAGAGAGAGAAGGGCACGTTCAGGAACCCGAGTCACCACACCGAGCAGCTCCCAGTAACTTATCCATGAGCCACTTCCTTCCTTGGTCCCTGTCATGAGGAAGCACCCAGTATTTCTAAAGCTAGCATTTCTCCGGAACCCCCTTTTGGGCAATAAGGAAACCACAGGTCACATGCATTCATTAAAATATTCCCGCCACATAGAAATATCTTAACCAGACTTTTCTAAAATGGTTCTGGATCAGGGACCATCTGAAAATACAAATCACAATTACTGGAGAGATTTTTCCATTCATTTATATTCTCCAAATTTTCTAGAGCAGTGGTTCTCAACCTTCCTAATGCTGCAACCCTTTAATACAGTTCCTCATGTTGTGGTGACCCCCGATTTCATTGTTACAAATTGAACATAATTAAAGGATAGTGATTAATCACAAAAACAATATGTAATTATCTATGTTTTCTGATGGTCTTGTTCGACCCCCAAAGGAGTCGTGACCCACAGGTTGAGAACCGCTGTTCTAGAGCATCTCCCTAAATAGGGAGAAAATAAACATAGAAAACGTTCTATTTAATCAAGCAACATAATTCCTTTTAATTAGAGAGATGAGAGCATAAATTGAAGAAGGTATCTATTCCTTTTTTTCCCTAAAAAGTACATTTACTAAAGCTGGGGACACTGACACCAGGAAGGGCTGAGGACAAGGAAGGGCTGAGGACAGAAGCAGCAAAAGGGAGGGACTGGGTGGGGCTGAGAAGGCAGAAAGAGGGCCTCGGAGACCGGTCCAGGGGTTAGCCCAGGACGAGCTCCCACTGCTGCCCTGGTAGTAAGTCCTGTGGGAACCCTTAGAGTTTAGGAGCTGCTCTAGGGGAAGAAGAGGGGGGAGGGACAGGTGCGGGGCTCCCGGAAGGGAGAGCGCCCCGAGGTCTCTTATCAGGCCACACACACGCACTGTCACTAACCATGTTGGCCCTGACATCACATAGTAGATCGTTGGCCTCTGGAACCCATTGAAAGTAGAAGCAGCAGCCACGGTATAAGCACCCATGTTTTCAAAGAGCATCCAGTCCCCCACGTGCATCTCGGGCAAGCCGCAGCGCTCCACGATGCGATCGAGGCCGTCACAGGTCGGTCCCCAGATGCTGGATGAGTAGTACTTCTCATCTGGTTTGGGCCTCTGCATTGGAGAGAAACAAACCTAGTTACACTCACTATGACCAGTCATCTTCCCTCGCACACACAGCACACTGACGGGAGGTACCTTCTGCAGCAGGGGCTTCACGTGCGCATGATCGTAGAGGATGCAGTTAAATGACCCGTACACTCCGTCGTTCACGTAATACATGAAGGTCTTCTCGCTCGACTCCTCCTCATCTAGGAGGAAGATCAGTCTCAGTGACCACCTCTGTACCAGCTTCCACTTACATGAGCAACGACTTCCCCGTTATACCTACCATCAGAGCCCGTTTGCTCCTTCAAGACCAGCTTTTTGGCAATGATATTAACCGCAAGCGTGAAAGCTGATGCAACATAGTATCTGCCCGGCTCAGCTATGACTGTCACTCCCGAGTCTGATGGAAAATACTTGTCCAGGGCTGGGTTGATGACACTGGTGATCTACGGAGTGAGACAGACAGACAGACAGACAAGCACAGTCGGCCATCAGGGGAACCAGGCGGTGGAGAGCGCAGCGCTGTGATGTGATATGAAATGTCTGCACAGCCTCAGCAGAGGCTCTCATCACCAGGCAACAGTGAACACTAAACACTGCCCCTCAGAACCAGCCTGCGTACCCCGTGGTTTCCCGTGGGCTCCCCTCGAGCTATCCTTCTGTCCTCCAAGATGTTACAGGGACCATTTTATCAAACGATAAAACAAATGTATTACTACTTACTCAGGGATCAGCGTGCCCCCAAGTGTTTTTATCTAGCAAATACATGCCAACAAGATAAAACTCTGTTCTGTCAACCTCACATAATTTTAACAAATAACAATGTGGATATTTTATAAACTTCAACACCATTTAATGGGGCTTAACTTCCTAAGTGACTAAACACTTCATGTTTTAATAGAGGAAATACAAGTTCTAGCAAAGCACATTTGGTATAAAGATGAACAGCAGGTCCCCCAATTACGTCGCTTTGTTCAAATGTTGTCATTTTGCTGTAACACGTGAGCAGCCATTGGAGCTGAACCCTCACCCTCACGTACACCCATCAGCCCAGGATAAAACAGTTTGCTCTGAGTTGTCTCATTTAAAGTCACAGGACCTATTACTGACATAAGTGAGCACTTGCTGTACTAAAGTCAGCGTGTTCTCTCATCGCCACAGCAACATTTCTTAATTGTTTCCCAAGACATTTTAGGAAGTGACTCATATGTCAGGAAACCAAAGAATGTTAAGCACAGGTTTAAACGGCACAGAAGTCGCTCAGGACATTTATCTTCACGTTTGTCCAGTCCCTCTGGTTATCAGCTACAACACGCGGGCTGTAAAGTACTCCTCTAGGGGACTTGCCGAAGCAGCTACCACCGACCAGCTTTGCTAGGAATTACCTCCTCAAATTTAAGCTTTGCATCCTCAGATCCAGGAAAGCCACCGCCAATGTCCAGCAGGTACATGTTGAAACCAACCTCAGCCTGGAGGCAAGAAAATTAGGTCAAACAGCGAGATCTGTAACAAGTCATGAAGAATGGAGGAGGCTTCAGCCTCTGCCATGAGAGGACTCCTCCAAAGGCCCATTCTAGAATTGAGACTAGTTCTGCCGGCCCTGCCCACCTCGCACCGGGGGTTTACATATACTCACCCCCATGTCAAAGACACAGCGGGCGTCAGAGATGGCCTGCACAAAGGTCTCAGGGTCAGTGCAGCCACTGCCCACATGAAAGCTGAGGCGATAAAAAGAACACGCCATTTATTATTTCTGAAGGTAACTGTTCACAGTGGGGAACAAACTGTAAAACTTGCACTGTCTTAGGCCCTAACCACCCCCCACGGTCTCACCTGACACCGATGACGTCGATGTTCAGCTCCCTGGCCCGCTCCAGAAGCAGCCTGCTGGTCTTGAGTGTGGCACCAAATTTAACACTGAGGCGACAGACTGCTTTGGAGTCATCGGTGGCGATGCGCAACACCAGCCTAGAAGCACGGGGAGCGCACCCACGTTACGGGGCGGCCCACGGACATGCTCACCACACAGACCCCTCGCTCTGGTCCGTGGTGAGTCTCACACGGCTTTCCTAGCCAAGAGGGTTTCAGCTCTTTCCCACGCGGCCCCTGACCCAGCACAGATAATTCACTGGAGTACAAAGATCAGCAACTGGAAATCTGTGCTTGTTGGGCAACACATAGACCCCGTCTCCGACCCTGCCCTCGTGGAGGAACTCACTTTGCCTTTGGGTGTGCCCTGGCAACTTTCATCAGCTCCACTTCGCTATCGAAAGTCATCATCTGGACTCCGTTATTGGCAGCGTATTTAATCTGAGACACTTGTTTACAAGGGTTTGCATAGATGATCCTCTCTGGAGGCACCCCAAGACTCTGCACCAACTGTATTTCAGTCTGAAAAGGAAGAGATGTTACACTATACATATGTAGCTAACAGTGAAAGAAACAGAAACATGGGAAGTTGTCACATCACAGCCCCGCCCCCCATCTACTGCCCAGGAAACAACTTAAGCTGCGTCTCGTCTCGCTCACCTTGCTGGCGCAGTCAAACCCCGTCCCGATGGCAGCTAGGGTCTTCACTATGGTCCTGCTGTCATTGCATTTGACTGCATAAAAAGGGGTGACCCGAGGAAGAGCTTTTAGCCACCGCAGATGTTTCTTTAGAATGTCTCCCAGGTCCGCAACGTAGAAGGCATCTTTGTCGTCCTACAGAAAGAGTGGGCACGCAGGCGTGAGCAGTAAACAAAGTGCACCCACGGCCTCCTCTTTCCCGTCACCTCAGTTCATTCACCGACATGACTATCAAAATTATTTGGGATGATCCACAGCCAATTAAACTCTAAATTCCCCAACAAGACTGTAAGTTCCATCGCACTTCCCAGATCCCACTGAAGTTCCCCGGCTGCCGCACTGCCCGGCGACGCTGCCAGCATGGACTGCAGACACTTACTGAGGAAGAGACTTCGTTAATTTTCTGGTCCAGGATGTCCTTGGCAGTAAAGCCCTCATCGAGGAAATGGCAGTCAAACTCTTCATCACTAACGCTGTTCATGTTCATGGTTTCTGAATGTTCCGAAACGCAACACTCTGCAAAAGGGTGGAGACATTCATTCAGAAGCCTAGATACTTAGTCATTCTGAACAAGATTAACGTGCAGCAGCCAAGAATACTTACAAGGAAAATGAAGAGACGGGACTTAGGGAGTTATTGCCAGCTGTTCAGAGGCGGCTCTCCAGGAACTCCCAGTCCACGGGACACGGGTCCCCTCCGGGCAGCAGCGGGAATGCCTGGTAATACAGACGTGATGTCCCCTTAGGACGCATCGAGCGGACACACTGGGCCCTAACCCGCCTCCCCAGGAAGCAGGGCTGCTCACACACGGCACAGCTCACTCTCTGGGTTTGGGAATCCCATTACTCCTGGGAGAAGTCATGAACCCACAAACCTCTAGAGCAGTGGTTCTCAACCTTCCTAACGCCACGACCCTTTAATACAGCTCCTCATGGTGTGGTGACCCCCAATGTCATTGTTACAAGTTGAACATAATAAAGCACAGTGATTAATCACAAAAACAATATGTAATTATATAAGTGTTTTCCGATGGTCTTAGGCGACCCCTGTGAAAGGGTCGTTCGACCCCCAAAGGGGTCGCGACCCACAGGTTGAGAACTGCTGCTCTACAGCATCTGTGGACAGCAGACTCAACACCTCAGAGCAGCACACGGAAGTCCCATACACAGGACTGTGCATCTCCATAAGCACTTTAAATTACACAGAATCATTTCCAGTAACGAAAAGGCATCATGGAAACATCCAGGGCTCAACTTACAGGGTGCTCTCAAGTTTCCTGGGAATTTTAGGAGCTAATTTTATGTGCAGGGTGGGCATGTATTTTTAAAACTGCGTCTTCAAATCAACATAATATCTCATAGTGTAGCTGACCAGAAAAGTCAGCGTTCTTAGACTAGTGTGGCTACTAAATTAGCAATTCTGGGAATCCCCACAGGCACTCTAGTATCTGCAATATTTGCTTAAGCAAACAAACATGAGTGACTTATGGGTAAGCAAAAAGCTCGGAACAATCAGAGCCACCGTCCTTGGACTTGATACACCATGACCGTGGTGAACGCCATTACTGAAGCTGACCGGCTTCCTGCCGGGGAGTGCAACCTGCTTCAGTGCCCGCAGCACACGGGGCAGAGGCCGGGCAATGGTCCGAGGCCGCAGCTCGCTCTGGCCCCGGGCATCTGAGGTCCAGGGGGACGGAAGCCGGAACGGAAGCCGCGGGGAGGCCCGCTGCCATCCATCCGACCCGTGCAGGGTGCGAGCAGAAAGAATTCCTTCCAGCCTCCGTCCAATCATTACTAATGTGACTGTTGGGCACTGCCAACCTCCCGACTCAGCCCTCGGGCCACGCAAGGGACTGAGGCCGGCAAACCCCTCTGGCCTCTGGGACATAATCACAGCCCGTGGGCGGCGGGGCACCTGCGTTAAGTAGGGTCTTGTTGAGTGTGTACCGCTGAGGCAATGCTCAGGCTTAAACCGGAACGTTTCCTTACATAGATCGCTGCTCTCCTGCATCTTGGAAGCTCATCTGAGCACCTGGCGATGGAGAGGGCTGACCAGGGGCACCTCCAGGGCGCCGGTGGCCGAGTTACCTACAGGTCGGACCCATCGGCACCTGCTAGGAAGCCTGGGCCGATCCCAACAGAAACGGAAAACACTGCCCCGCCGGCTAAACGCGGCGCAATCTTAGATTGAACAAGTCCCGCACCCTGTGTCCCCCACTTTTCTAGGAGGTTTCGTTCCCCGACTGGCACCGAGGGCTTAGGCTTCCCGGAAGCCTCGGGGGAGGGGGGGGACCTCCCACGTCCAAGGCCCTGAACTGGGGCCGAACACCCCGGGCTCCTCCTAAACCCCCGGGTCCTCCCGGTTCCGTGGCTGGACCTTCCTCCCGGGCCAGGCTGGCGGCCTGACCCTCCGCCCCAGCAACGCTCTGGTTCTCCGCCGGGTCCTCTGC